AAGCTGACTGTAGATTATTGCATTCGTAAATGCCAGCAGGAATGTGAATAAGACCTGTATGGAACCCTTCAGTAAAACCATCAATCAAGACATCAACTAGGTGTTTGGAAGGGTGAGTAGCTAAGGTGCGAGCCAGAGAGCCAATATTCACTGAGGTCAGGTAAGGTTTTGCATGAGTTTTATTTGGACACAGGGACTTTGCATGAACCCTAAAACAGTGAGAACACACGTGCAACAAACTACAGGCACTATAATCGCATGTACCTACATTGAAATTATTACACACCTGCGACTTTCCCAGGTAAATAATAGGACGGCCAAGTTTGTCCTTCCTGATCTGTCGGTCCTTGTATGTGCCTCTGGGAAAGTCATAGGTGTGGAATTGGGTAAGATGGGACAATAGTCTGAGGCATGTGCGGTGGATGCGCAAATTGCACAAGCTGGTGTCTTAAGTCTGGCAAAGTGCCTGCAAAACAGCTCACTGTCCATTCAGCTCCAGTAAGCTTTGACGTTGTACTGAGCCAGAATTGCAGGCACCCTTGCCGAAAAAGACCGGTGGTAATCATAAAATGACGAGCCACCGTATTTATTACCCAAGTACACCAGCTTATGCAAATAGAGATCAAGTTCCTCTCGTCTATGCGGGTGTACTACGCATATGACATCCCTATATATACCAAAAGCAATGACAAACTCAAGTATAGACAATCTGTTACTTAGTCTAGGGTACCTAGCCTTCAACACAACAGAAATATCACCATAAGCATATGTGCGATTTTCAACAATATCATGCGAGGCAATTAGTAGTGCAACAAGATTGACATCCTTGCCTTCCAGGATATCTTTCCTGAGATTGGCAAGAACCATGTGGACTGGGTTTATGATATGGAATTCGGAACCTGAAGGAATAAAATTACCTGTTTGCAACATTGGCGCATCGGGAAGACCAGCAATTAAGTGCACAGAAGACATTATAGGAAGGCTCCGAGCCTCTATCCTATGCAGTCTATCATTGACCCTCCCCATAGAAGCCACAAGTGGCATGAAGATGCGAATTGCCGGGACCACTTGTCCCTTTTCCAGCCCCTGAGTTGTCGGTGCTTGTATGCAGAAGTTTAAATAGTTCTGCTTTCCTGGCTGTGGAAGGGAAAGGGATACTGTGTCTTTGAGGTTCTGCAGTGATACAGGGAATGATCAATGATCTGATAGAAGTAGGGCTACCGGTGTCACCTTTTCGAGAAGGTGACATGGACCTGACAGGAGTACTGGGGAGAGACAAATTGTCTGCTTCTTTGGGGAGCTGAGACATACTAAAAGCAATATTAAAACATAGATCAGTAACTGAAACCACTTGGATTACTGGCTGGCTATCTAGTGCCAAGTGGCAAAGCAATTTACTAGGTATGATGACAGGTGAGGACCTGCTAGATGCTAGGTGGCTTGAGAGGCTCTATCTATCCATTGGTGTGAGGGGATTTTTTGCCACCAAACGTTGTGCCGGGGTGTTGGCCTATGAATGACAATTAAAGCATAAGACAGAAAGGGAATGATATGGGAAGCCCTCTCTTTGCAACTGTGCAAGGCGGCTATCTATGATTTAGCCCTTGGGGCGAATATACCTCAAGCATGGAGGAAGGGTGTTGGCCTCGAGGGATCACTGTGACTGAGGCAAAGAAGCCAGAAATGTCTAACACTAGTGGCCGATTAGATCCTGAATAAGCCAGTAACAACAACCGAAAGCATGGTGGGGGAGGGAATGTTGTGGGGAAATAGGCAAAACGTACCTGTAACCCACTTGCATGTCAGTTAGGTCAGAAATTGGTCACAACCCAACATAGAAACTGAGACTTCCACCCCAAGTAAATAGTGTAAGGAGAGGCCTATACCTAATGTCATAATCTGTACAAAATTAGGTACTCCCCACTAGGTTTACAGATATATAGCTATGCATGTTACAGATACATATTGCTCTGTATGTTACAGATACCTATTGCTCTGCCTGTCACAGACATGTAGCTTTGCATGTTATAAACACATATTGCTCTGTATGCTACAGATACATACAGCTCTGCATGGTGCAGACACATATTGCCTGCATGTTATAGATAGATATTTCTCTGCCTGTCACATATATATATATATATATATATATTACTCTGTATGCTCTATAGACATGTATAGCTCTGCCCGTTTTTCAGAGATGCATGCTCAGTATGTCAAGGATATTTACGCTCTGCATGCAACAGATATGACACTCAACATGCTCATAGAAACATTGCCCTATTCTGTTTGATTGTGTGTGTTTCTCTCCTATCTTTCTCCCCCCCTCGTTCACCACCGTGGGTGGTCTCAGCTGAAAGAAACCGTGAGTCTACGTGTGTTCCGGCCCCCGGCTAATTGTTTACAGGCTTTCTGCATACTGATTGAGAATTATGGGGGAGAAGACCCCAGAGCTTTGTTCTCCCGTCTGGAAGTCTTATGATACCTACAGAGGCTTAGTCTGGTGGAGATACATTGAACATTTCAGGCAGCACTTATCAGCCAACCCGGGTATGCGGTAAGACTAGATGGATCTGCTCCTTTGGATGAAGGTGATAATGGCTCCTTTTCAGTCGGGGGCCAGGGCGGGGGTGCACGCCGCCTCATCAGCTGGCCTTAGGAAAAAGTTCTGCTGGCTGTTTAATGATGGTCAGTGTAAGTGGGGTAATGCTTGCAAGTTCAAACACCCATGCTAAATAGTTTTTCTACATTATTTCCCTGAGTTTAGAAATACCCAATGTTAACATGTTCTTAGCTTTTTTTGAAAAGTTATAGGGCAATAAATACAAGTAGCACTTTGCTATTTCCAAACCATTTTTTCTTTCAAAATTTGCAAAATATTGTAACACTGATATCTGTCAGCAATCCCTGAATAACCCTTCACATGTATATATTTAAAAAAAAGACAACCTAAGGTATTAAACTTGGGGTATTTTGACTCTTTTCATGCAACCATTTTACCACCAATCAATGCCAAAAAAATAAGAAAAATGTAATTGGTGATTTTTTGACACACATAGCAATTTAAGAATGCTAATGAGAACTTTAAGGGTTACTGCCAAAGAACACACCAATTATGTGTTCAGCAACATCTCCCGAGTGATACTACCCAAGTATAGGTGTGTCTGGTTTTCTAGGGGCTAAAAAACCTTATTTGGAGGGAGCTCATTATAGTTTTCCAAATTGTAGTTTTCGCAGCTGGTCATCATGCACCTGTGTCCTAATTGGAAAAAAATTTAAGCCGGCCATGTAATTTACCCCCATCAAACTATATATTTTTGAAAAGTAGACACCCTAGGGTATTTTAAATGGAGGTATTTTAACACTTTCCATGCACTATTTCTACCACCAGTCTTTGCCAAACTTTTGGTTAATCATTTTTTTGTGTTATTTTTCTCTCACGTTGTACTTTAGGCATGGATTCTCAGATCCTGTTATGTGTTACTGACAAAGAACACCCCAATGTGTGTTCAGCAACATCTCCTGAGTACAACAGTGTGCCCAATGTACAGGTTGTATGGATTTTTGCTAACTTACCGGGGTAAAATGTAGGGCTTTCCCCTTTTCCATGTTTTCACATTGAAATTTGCCAGATTGGTTTGCTGGGCCTATGTTGCCTTCGAGACCATATGGCAGCCCAGAAATGAAAATTAACCCCACCATGACATACCATTTGTAAAAAGTAGATAACCCACGGTATTCAAAATGGGGTATGTCCTGTCTTTTTAGTAGCCACTTAGTCACAAACCATGGCCAAAATTAGCATTTTTATTAGTTTCTTGCATTTTTTTTTAAACAAAAACTGCACTTTTACTGGTAATATCCTTGTCATGATAAGTTTTACTTTTTAAAACACTCATATTTGTGTTCGGCGAACTCTCCCGAGTATAACAATACCTCCCATGTAAAGGTTTTATGGTGTTTTAGAAAGTTCAAGGTTAAATATAGGGCTTGCCAATTAAATTCTCTGGACTGTCTGCCTGGGTTGTCAGGCAGGTCCCTCAAATTATAATTAATAAAATAATTATGTAGTTAATAGTTAACTAGTTCCTATATATGTATAATATATAATTAAAATATATATTAGAATTAAGCATTTTATAATATATTATACATATATAATGCATATATATGATTTCAATATAAGTGTTTTTTTTGAGATATGTGTATATATCTCAAAGTATACTTATAATGAAATTATATATAAATGCATTATATATGTACAATATATTAAAAAATGCTTTAATTATTTTACAATATATATTTTATAATATATTATACATATTTGTATAATGTATTTATTTTATTTTATTTTTTTACTTTTTAGCAGCCTGGGTGGACTGCCTGGCAGCTCATAGACTCCTATTGCGGCCATGGAATCATGGGGATCACGCTGATTGGATTTCTACAAGTGTAAGCAGCTGGAGTTGTATCTTTTGAGCATCCCAAATGAATATGGTCATATTGAATATTACCTTGCTGCTTTGGTTTTGATGCTTAGAGTGTTCCTTTAAATAGTTTGACAACTTACTTTGGAAGAGCACCAGCGCAGATATTAACCATAACCACTGGTTAACTGTGCTACATATGTGCAATAGCCAAATTCAGATCGTTAGTGTCTAACACCTCAATTTAATATACTTGCATAATCTTCTCAAATGATTTAATATTTTTGAATAAACATTTCAAGTGTTTTCATAATGATTCAATATTATGCCGAATAATTAAATTTTCGAATATATTTAATATATTTTTAATATATGATATATTTTTGATATTTTAATATTTAGAAAAAAAAAATCAAACTGAACAAAAAAAATTATTTGATAAGCTTATTACAAATATTTATTTGAGGCTCAAGTTAGGCCTTTCACTAATAAAACTAAGACAGTTGGAAGGTATATTAAACCGGAATTACTTTTTTTAATGTTAGCATGTTTCATGAACAGAGCAGGAATCAGGAAAATAGTAAAAAAGCTTCATTTATTGCCAATGGTTGAACAAAAAGTTATTGTCTCATATATTTTTTAACCGTTGGCAATAAATGAAGCTTTTTTATTATTCTCTTGATTCCTGTTCTGTTCATACTCCTGAATATTGCCAATATAGCTAATCATGGCAAGGCTTATCGCAGGCAATAGTAGTGGAGGGGGCAGAGATAGCTGGTGACCCCAGGTAAGAGGTCAACTTTTTGAAAATGATTTGACTACTTACCATCGAAATGTTTTTTTAATCACTAAAACAGCAATTTATTGCAATCGAAACGGGAATTACACATTTTAAACAAGATAACTTACCTGGTAAACTGTACAATACAGCTACACAGTTTTGGTTTAGAATTTTAATTTCTCTGTGAATTTCCAACAAATTACTATTTAGTGATTCACGTTAAATCATATAATTAGATTCTACATTCACCTCTCCTCACACCAATCCAGATGAATCTCGCATGCTGTTTATATGCCTTACAAAATAAGCAAGGTAATTATTGGCACACAAACTCTGGATTGAACTGACATTCCCATGCAAGAATCTGCACTGCCTCTGTGTCACTGTTCTGTTATTAAGAAGTGATTGCAAATCTATACGCATGAATGAATTACACTGTTACTGATTTCATGACTAAATATATCCAAGACTGCAACTGTTCTTTCAGTAAGAAGGTGGAGAGAAGAGTTAATTAAGTAAAATGTGTAATTATGTGTTATTATGTAAGGTGAAAATTGGGTATAAAATAATCCAAAACTGTTACTATATAATTAAATGTTTACATTTTGTAAGTACCATTGGTTATCTATTATTTATTTTTATTCTATTTTATCTGCGCTTTATTGTTATTCCTCAATGACTTTATTTATATTAATTTCATAGCTTAAACGTATTACATTATAGTAAATTACATAAAAAGAGGTTAACACTAAACCGAGCTCTATAAAAATAAATACAAAAGCTGAACAATCTGTACTAATATTTCTCATCCCCCGAACCTATTTTGTTATATGCGGTTGTGTCCAATGCCATATTTGGAGACATTTTGGCACACTTCAGAATTTCGCACCTGCGCATCCGGTATAGGTGTGCACACCCAGGTGCTTCCACAATTTATTTGAGGACAAAGTTAATCAGCAAACGTTTCGAGCAGCAGCAGCTGGACATTAGCATTCAGAAAGGGCTGCTGCTCGAAACGTTTGCTGATTAACTTTGTCCTCAAATAAATTGTGGTAGCACCTGGGTGTGCACACCTATACTGGATGCACAGCATTCGTGTTTGTTTTTTGGTTCTACACTGTTGGGACTTCAGTGTGGAGTGTCTGCAACACAGGTCTAATTTTTTCTTTGTTTATATTTTGAATTTTGTAGGCATTGTTTGCCTCTACGTAACCCCATATATAATGTTAATTTATAATTTTAAGCCAAAATAGATTCATTGCATATGTTCTCTAAGTCAGTTATATTTTTATATCAGCTATTTTGATCTAAAATCTGGAATTCCCTTTGAATTTACTTTGAAATCCCAGCAATTCACACTTTTGTAAATTATGCCACTGATGTAAATAAAAAAATAAATAAAAAATATTAAATGTACTTATTAACTCACCAATTGCTTACGCAGAGACAGATCCTACCAAGAACAGCATTAACAGAAATGTAAATATCTTCACTGGCAAAATAAACATAAACTGATCCATAAAGATCCATAAAACAATAACCGAAATATAATTTATCCCTTATCTTCTTAGCCAGTTTCTGTTTTATTGGGATTTTTACTTTCTCCAAAGCACATCAGCTTGTCTTCTTCAATTAACTGTATTAATTGGTTTTATACAACAATTTTGGGAAGTTGTGGTTTTAATATCAAAAAATGCACAATTATAACTATTAGGCTGTGCACTCACCCATCTTATCTGAAGGGCTATATCTTCAGATTAGAAATTCTCTTTTGTAATGAAATAATTTGTGCAGGGAACTACATTATCTGTTAGTTTATATTTGCAGATAATACTTTTTTTTATCATTGCTCTTGATTTGCACAGAGGACTACATATATATTTATGTTGAAAATTAAATAAAATGGAAACAAAAGAAGAATACTAAAATACATACAAATACGTGTATCAAATACATGTAACTCAACTATCCATTTGACTTCAGTTTACATTTTTATATCTTTGTGTTGATATATGGACACGTATTTTAAAGATAGATAGATAGACAATTGCATTGAATGCATACGTCTATAGTATCATAATAATGATTTTCTTTTTTTGTTAATGTGAAAATATTCTACAGTTTTCTTGGCTACAGTGAATACAATACAATACACAACCTAGAATGTGAGCTATTTATTTTTAACCATAATTTACCTCTTTCATATTAAGTGCACCCACACTTATTAAATATAATTTTGTTTAGGAGAAATAGGGGTTTCATTTTGCTTCAAATATTTTTGTATGGAACACATGTAGAAAAAATGTGTGGGAACTTAAGACATTTTGTTATTTTTCAAGTTTAAAGCTTTTACTGCAATACAACACATATATTTGTATGCGGTGATGTCCCACAAGTATAACAATTTTGGAAAGTTAGAGAGTTGAATATTGAGCTTGCCTATTTCCGCTTTTATATATTGAAAATTTTACCTTTGAGACCATATGGCAGCCCCAGAATGAAAATTAGCCTCATCATGGAATATCATTTGCCCTAAGTAGACAGAAAAAGTATTCAAATTAGGTACGTCCAGTATTTTTAGAAGCCACCTAGTCACAAACCCTGGCCAAAGTTAGTGTTCATGTGTTTTATATACTTTTTATGATGATAATGTTGTCACTATACATTTCACTGATTTAAAACACTCATGTGTTCAGCCATATCTCACAAGTACAACAGTACTCCCCATGTACAGGTTTTATGGAGGTTTAGAAAGTTACACAGTAGAGTTGAGCGGACACCTGGATGTACAGGTCCGGCGGGTTCGGCCGAACTTTGAAGAAAAGTCTGGGTTCGGAATCGAACTTGACCCCGAACTTGACCCCAAACCTCATTGAAGTCAATGGGGACCCGAACTTTTGGGCACAAAAATGCCTCTAAAAAACTCCTGGAAAGGGCTAGAGAGCTGCAAAAGGTAGTAAAATGGGGATAAGAGTAGGACAAGTGCCCTGCAAACAAATGTGGATAGGGAAATCACTTAAAATAACATAACAATTAAAAATACAGCTGAGCCATAAAATAGCACTAGATGGAATCTTTGATTTTAACTTTGGAAGAACATAAATCAAAGTCTAAAGCATGGCTGTCAGGAGGATCACCAGAATTATCAATTTGAGAGAGGGTTGGAGTGCAGGGTATTCTCTTTCATTGTTCAAACTGAGCTCAACTCCTGATGCATGGAAAAAAGGCCTTCACAAGCCTCTGCTAATGTGTACATAGTTTATACTAAGTGGCCCATAGGTTGAGGAGGCGGTGACCGTGGCGGTGTAGGTGGAAGCAGCGGTGGAGGAGGAGGATGAGGTAGCCAACACTGTTTTATATATATATATATATATATATATATATATTTATTTATTTATTTATTTATTTTTTAAATTGGGGTAGCCCCCAAAATATTGGGACATATAAAAAAGACAACTCTGTTCCGCAGAGTAGCTGTTGACATTATAGTTGCGCAGGCACTTTGTTGACTCTAGAGAATCTCGGGCCAATCGCACATCCCTGTGACAGCGACTTTGCATTTGGATGTCATCCATATCAACTTTCGATTCCAGTTTCTGCGCCTACCATGGTGACCATGGGTAACGGGGAATCAGGGTTCCATTCTGTACAGGGACCCTGAGAAACGGCTACCACATGCAAGGAAGGCAGCAGGCGCGCAAATGACCCACTCCCGACGCAGGAAGGTAGAGACGACAAATAACAATACAGGACTCTTTAGAGGCCCTGTAAATGTAATGAGTCCACTTGAATCCTTTAACTCTGATCAATTGGAGGGATGTCTGGTGCAGAGCCACTGACCCGTGCGTGCTGCAGCTGAAACTCCACTATCGCCTGCTGTTGCTCGCACAGTCTCATGAGGCAGTGAGCGGGAAGGCCGAAGTTACGCTGCAACCCATACAGGCGAGCAGCAGCAGGGTGATAACGCCAAAAGTGCACACAGCCGCTACAGTGAATGTCACATCCTGTTCCAAGTTGCGGATCAGTCTGGTGATGGCTTCTGGTATCCAGTACTCTTTTTACTGAAGCTGCATCAGGGTCCTGGTATGTGGCCACACAAACGCTGGTGCTCAACACCACGGGGTGTGCGGTTACCCTGCACTAGACCCTGCTAATCCATTCCCCACCGTGACTCCTAACTTCAACATCGGGCATACTGGGTCCCAGTCATCCGACCACTGCCCAGACAGTGTCTGGGTCCTGGTCACTGGACTGCCCACCTCACTGTGAAACTACGAATGGTTCGTTAAATCTGATACGAACCCGAACTTTGCAGTTCGGGTTCACTCAACTCTATTATGGATCCTTTGATCGCTACATGTATTACTTAGATAACTGGTATTTCTCGAGCTAATACATGCTGATGAGCGCTAAGGGACGGCCACTCCGCTTTTGCACCCTGCTCCCTCTTTTGCTGTGCTGGTGCCTCTGTGCGACCAGCGTCTCTTCCTCAAAAACTGCACACGTCACTCGCATGACCTTGATTCCATGTGGAGTATAGGACCTCATCATCCTCTACATCATCTTCCACTCACTCCTCAACCCTGCCCTCCTTGCCGGTATGCACACTGCAGAAAGCCACAGCAGTTGGCACCTGTGTTTTTCCAGCATGTAAAGTCTGCAAAGGACATATGGAAATTGTTTTAGAATTGTATCCAGGCAACAGTTTTCCCTATAAAATGAGCTCTCAGTTTGACTTGTGAGGGTATTGCCCCAGAATTACAATATTGTTTAAGTACCTCTTAGCTATTGATAACTGGTTTAAATATAGCAACTTGTTATCTGGTAGTTTTTAGTGTAGAAAATATCAATCTGTTTTCCATCACTTAGATCTGTGTAACAAGTGTTGTAGGTGTGAAACAATA